CGGAAAATGATGGAAAACAACAAGAAAATTGCATCTCGTCGCTCCTTGAGAACAAGAGATACTCGGGCTTCGTTAGAAAGCCAGATAATAATGTTATTAATACGATCTAGCGCAATTGAAAGCGCGACGAAAAGAATGACGCAAGGCGAGAGTGCTGTAGCGAGTCGACTCGGAGGCGATTCGATCGAACACCCCATGTATACGCTCGTTTCTTTTCCGCTTCTTACAACGGAAATGACGCTACGAGGAAGGGCCGGTCGACGGCGAGACGACGGAGCGAGAGGAGAGCTCGTGAGAATCCCGACGGCGAGATCGCGATAACAAGGACCGACGGACCGTCCGGCGGATGCGTTCGCGCCAGGCGCAAGGATCGCATCCGCGGCCGCGCCGCGCGATGCAGGTATCCTCGCTCGCTCAGGATGCAGGAGAGAAGATGCGAGCGCGCAGAGCCGTATCCGAGCGTCATTTGTTAGTTAGATAACCTTTACTCCAGCATTAGCCTCGCTCTCGACCTGCCAGCTGGCGGCCGGCCATCGTCTTCCTGCGGGGAGAACTGCTCTTTCGCGATTCGCCTCTTACTCGCGCGAATTGGAAAAAGGAAAACGGTAAAAGAACACTCGCGTCACTTGACCCTTCGCTCCTTCGTATCCTTCGTATCCTTCGACCGTCTCGCCAATGCGGCGTTGAATGCTCGGAGGAGAAATTTTGAGAGTTGCGAGATGCATGAGACGCACGAAGGAGAAATTCGCGAAATGACTCGCGAAAGGATTCGCGAGAATAAATCGGCGGATCGAAAGTGCTTCAAGCTTTCGTGGTGCGATATTTTTGCAGAGTCACACACCAAGAGCTTCGAAAATAGATCCTCCATACAACAGTCGGTCCTTGTTGGAGCAAGAAGCTCGAAGGAACGCCATTCCTTCGTGATACACGAGAGAGAGAGAGAGAGAGAGAGAGAGAGAGAGAGAGAGAGATATCCTCCCCTCGCCGAAGGATCGCCTTTTTTTCACAATAGCGACAATCGCCGATACTTAGCACACCGCGCGCGAATATTCAAGCGACGTATCGCGGCGACGATTAACGATCGGCTGCATTCCGCGTGCGCGGAATGCACCCATCGCGGAATGTAACGCGCGGAATTACACGTGTAGGCCGCGCGGAACCTACCATCGCGAATTCCGCGGATTCGCGAACGGCAGCTGTGCGCTCGCTCGCTCACTCGCTTCGCTGCAATGATTTCTTCCGCGAGGTGAAATGCGCCTCGTCGGTAAGATTGCGCCTCGGGAAGAGTCGAGCGCGAGTCGTCCGTGTAATTAAAGTGTTATCTTACGGCGGAACGGCGACGGGACGATTGAATCGTGGGGAGAAAAGAAAGAGGGGATCCGGTCCGAGCGGAGTGCCTTCGATCGAAAATAATAACAAAGATATAACTTGGCGGCAAAGGAAGTGGCAATCACAACGAGGATAATGACGGCTGCGCATTAAAGTAAGGTCGCGCGATTGCGGATTAAATATACAACAATGTGCCGCAACGGCTCCCTCGTCGGCCCTTCGGACGACGAGACAACTTTCCACGACGATAAATTGCACAGGATATTTCCTAATTATCTGTAGAAAGAGCGGGCGAGATAAAGAGAGAGAGAGAGAGAGAGAGGGGGAAGAGAGAGAGAGAGAGAGAGAGAGAGAGAGAGAGAGGCGCTGGCAGAGATCGAGGATACCTGAAACTTCGCGGAAAGATCTCTGGCGAAAATTTTATTCATTCCACCTACTCTTCCATTTTATGCAAAGGCGAGATTAATTCGCAAGTCACGAAACAACAAATAAACGGAAGAAGCGGTGGCCGTTAAACGCGCGACGTGGGCGGCCGGTCGGCTTCGTTCGTGAACCTTATCGAGCGATTCGTTTCGCGTCGATCGCGGCAAGCGGGGGGGCAAGAGGGAGCCGCCGCGCCGCGAGCCGCAAAGCAAACGATCCGAAGCGGTTAACTGCGCTCCATTAATTCATTGTCAACCGATGCCCCTCGATGGGAATCGAACCGAGTCTTCCCGCGGATTTGAAAGAACTCGCTGATGAATCGGCGGCGATCGAACACCCCGGGCACTGTTGAGCGAGGAGAACCAGAGCCGGCTACAATCGCGCCGGCAGGGGTCATCGCGCTTGGATAGAGGAGTTCGGCAAATGCCAGTGCGTTCCGTTACACGCGCGGAAAGGTAGAGTTTCCAGAAAAACGCTGGCAGAGATCAATTAATGGCAGGCCAATCGACAACAGAGGAGATTTCTCCGGGATACTTCGCGTCGTCGTATTATCTCCCCGCTGAAATGTTGCTCACGGCGCGGCGCGGCGGCGAATTAACCGCGCCCCGTTTCTACCGTTATTTACATTAATAACTTTTGCGGAAAAACGGCACGCGCTCGCGCAACAATCGCCAGTATTCCTCGCGGATGCAACGAAAAAAGATGCACAGCTCAACTCTCCCTCTCGCCTCTCGCGCACTTCGTCGCGGCGACGATCGCGACTCGCGGCCAGTTGTTGATTTTTCCCCGCGATCTCGCAGCAAGAAACACACCGCGCGCTCAGCTGTATATACTCTCGCTCCGACATACTTGAGAAAGATCCGGCCGGAGCCGGAGGCTAACAACAACATACGCCCTAAGTTCCACACCCTAAACGAATTAGAAATCGGGAGCCCGTTGCTCGGCTCGACCCGCTTCGCTACGTGCCCTAATGTGTTGCGTCTCGCGTGTACCGGGCCACTTTTCAACTGCTCAGCCGCCTGTCATAAGGCGAGTCGAGATATCGGATTACGCGGGATTCGATAGAGGAACGCGCGCGCGTTTCGCTGCCCTTTCGTCAGGTATTACGTGAACGATGAATTTCGTTGTTGCTGTTGCTGGCAGAGCGCGCGCACGCATTATGTAATCGTTAAAATGAAAATCATGTAAAATGTGCTTTCTAATTGTGGCGACACGCCTCGACGTCTCGACCGAATATAGCGAGATCGGCGTTAGCAAGGCAACCGGGGTATCGCGATATACAGAGGTAATAATGATGCGACTTACATCGGAAATCAGACTCGGTTCTAGGAAGGAACGAACGCGTGTTAGCCGGATGGCCGCCGGACTGCCGCTAGAGCGGTTCGTCCTGCGTAAGGATCACCGAGTGAAAGTCACCGCGCGATCGAAAGTCACGGAATTCATAATTCATGAAACTCGGATAGCCGTGAATATATCTCGACTCTGCCTGCTTTTTTATCGTCATTGTATTAAAGGTTAATTTCATGCCGTGCCAGCTCATTCTCCGCGCGACAAAATCCCGTGCAAAATACGCGATTAATTGACTATCCGCGTTATTGCGCGCTGGCCGAGCGCCGCACCGGCGCGGCGGTAAGAGTGGAAACATATCCGCGCTGTTATGATTTCATTCCGAGCGTAAATTATCCGCGAATCCAAGGATTAATCGGGCCGGCCGAGTGAGAAAGCGAGGATCTGGTTGCGCCGCGGATTTATACAATCGCGTTGCAGAGCCGCGCTGCTCCTCGTATCGACGATACACGACGATGCGCGGCGATCCTTGCTCGGCTTTTTCGTGCTCGGAACGAAACGGATAATTACGCGCCTTCTCCTCGGCGTCAGGCCAGAAGTGGACGAAGAAGGAGGGCAAGTGCAAATTAAAGAAAAGAGGCAAAGTGCGCGCGTGTAGAAATCTATATAGAAAGCGCATCGGAAGCCCGACCTAAACGCAGCGCGAGCGCAGTTATTGACTCTTACGAGTGCGCTTACGCGAATTGATGCGCCGATCACAGCTCTTCCCAGTTGCATCGCGCTAATCCTTATGTGAACGATACTTTACTTTCACCGGTGTTACCACTCCGTAATCCTTCGTCTTTTTTCTTCCTCCTTCCCTGCGTCCCCCCCCTCCCCCCTCACGCCCTGCTACCCGCTCGCCACCGTGGTGTGTGACGACACCGGTCCGGTCGATTATCCATCTGTACCGTCGTAATCGCGCGGTATCGCGTGCGAAACAAAACGGGGTTGCGACCCGACGTGATCCACGAGAGTGGCCAACGTCGTGCAACCACTCGCGAACATGAGCGAAGTTCGCACGTGCAAACGACCGCCGGATAAACGGGCTGTGTTATGCAACAAGGGGGCCCCGGGGGGGGGGTTAATTTAGACGCATTAACGATAAACACGCCGATACTCCGCGATGTGACGGAGATCGTGCCGATCGAATCTCGAGCGGGCTTCGCGCCTCGGTCGAGGAAACGTCATCGTGACCGCGATTCCTTTCGCGAAGGAGACGCGTGCAAGTTTCGTCGTTGGTTGGTAATTAATTAAAGAAAAAAAAATACTTAGTTCTTGGGAGTTGTTACGTATAAAAAGGCGTGAATATATCCTGTCTCATGGAAGGAGATACAACATTCTCATGCATATTCATGCATACAGATAATAATATTCATAATATTCGGGTGATAATATGCAGATGGTAAATAATGTTCATAAAAATGTAACATTCAAAACTTTTTCTATCTACCAGGGAACGCGTGATTGCAACACGGCTGCTATATCTTTGAGAGAGAGAGAGAGAGAGAGAGAGAGAGAGATTTTAATCAGACCAACTGCGTGAATTCGAAACAGCGTTACTTAACAAACTTTCGGCCTTCGTTTGGCGTTTGCTATAATAAAGTTCCGAAATTTTCGGGAGGGAGAGAGAGAGAGAGAGAGAGAGAGAGAGAGAGAGAGAGGCTCTCGGATCGAAAGTCCTACGTCTCGATCGACGAGAGGATCGCCGAGGTACGAAATATGCGCGAGGACGCAATGAAAATTCAATCGGTGCAAACTCGTCCCGCGACGTATTTGCGCAATCGTCGCGAACCCATAACGCATGCCTAATAATAAAACGTGGCGAAAGAGCGAGACGACGATAGGCTCCTCGCTAACATATATAGTCAGCCGAGAGAACGAGGATCGCAAAGTGAATGGAAAATGCGGCGGTAGTTTCGCGAGTCGAATCCTGATTTTCAAGCCGAGTCGAGCGTCGCGAATCTCGCGGCATCGCGATTTCACGTTGCGTATCATCCGGCCGTGGTTCGCAAAAAAAAAATAATAAAGAACGAAAAAAGAGGCAGATCGGGACTGATGCGTGCGTCCAAGGATCCTCGATGTGGGTACGTTTGTTGCGTTATTTACATCGGATATTTACGGAATCGCACACGAACTGTGCAGATAACTTGTAAATTCGCCGTAAAATCGGACGAGGCCATATAATAAATTACCGTAAATATATTCAGAGTGTCGTAAACTACATGCGCACGACACAAATCAATAAAAATCGCTGTTTATGTGATTTGGATACGTTTCGAGGATCGAATTTAAGTTTCTGCTGCTCTCGTCTCTGCCTCTCCGTTTGTCGGGGCGCGCCGCGCAGGGCAGAGCAGCGCGGCGGCGCGAGACCGCGAGCGGATAAAGAAGCTATGAACACAACGAGCGGACCGACGTGCAATTTGGACCTTAATGACTTCGCCTTCGATGATTACACCCTGTCACTGAATAATATCGTAATGATTTAGCCCGCGCACTCCCCGACCGGATCGTTTCGCCGCTTAATGACTGTTATCGCGGGAAATAAGAGCAAATCGCGTGCGTCTCGCGAGGGTTCGGCACAAGGAACGCTTTTGACAGCTGAATAGTTGTAAACGAATACATCAAGATTACGCAATCCGCCGGTCGTTCGGCCGAGTAATCGCCGCAACGAGCGGAGGAATGGATTCCTCCGATATTCTCCCGCCGAGCTTTTGCCGATCTCGCGCGCGACTCTTCCGCGGCGTGGGTGTTTCAAGATAGATTCTGCCCGCTGCAATGAGCTCTACCGATGACATAATCCGCGGAGTTCAAGGTCCGCGGATTCGAAAAGAGTCCGCTCGTCGGGACGACGGAAAGTCCACGAGGATAAGCGGCGTCGAGCGCACGACACGTTGCCGGCCAACGAGCTCGCGCTCGCGCTTGAATTACAAAGTTGCAGTTCGCGGCGTTCTCCGGACTCGCTTTCGCAATCGCGCGATTAATAAAAGTGATTTATCCCCGCGCGATTAGAAGGCGAAATACCCGGGATTACGTTCGAGCGCGTTACTAATTACCGACAATTACCGCAGGTGTAACGTGGCGCACCCTCTTTGCCTCTTTCCCAATCGATCCGCCGATTCCGAAGTTTTCCGAAAGAATCAGAGAAAGACAGCCGGAGGGCAGGAGGAGTGGCGGGGGAGGGGGGGGATGGTGAAAAGGGAGAAAAACGCCATTACTTTTCCCCGGCGCGCGAAACGCGGAGGCCACGAGTTACGCGTGTTTCGCCGGCGTAATTAGCGGATCGAAGCGCACGCGAAATGATTTTATTAATTGCCGGCGAATCGCGCGGACGCGCGAGCGTTCTAAGCGGTTTGCGCGCGATTATGGCAGACGAGCTCTGAAAGGAGAACGCAACCGACGCAACCAAAGGTAGCGCGGCAATCCGCGGATTAACGTACGAGCGAGACTAGCCTCTACAATAACGCGCGCTCTCGTCCGCCCGGAGATCTCTCCTCTCTCTTCTCTCTCTCTCTCTCTCTCTCTCTCTCTCTCTCTCTCTCTCTCTCTCTCTCTCTCTCTCTCTCGTTTCTTCATGTGCCGCTTGTTCTCCGTTGACATTTCTCCGCGAGAGACGCTGTCGCGTTTCGCACGGAATTATGACATTAAAAGAGTCCCAGGGAGAGAATCGGATTTCGTATGTCGTTGTGCGCACGCGCGATTTAATACTTCTCCGCTGCTACTTTTCGCGGAGAGTACGCTCGACTGGAAGCCTCTCGGCGGTCGCGCGCATCACGCGAGCGCCCATGCGCGAGTTCGTTATTTACCGTAATTCAGTTATCGAGCGTTAAAAGCATCAATCGTGTCTTGTCGGACTTTCTACGCGAAAGATTCCGAGCCGACGGCGAGGTTCGCTTCGAAGCGCTAGGACGTACTTGTTCGAATCGGCCGATCGATCGATCGATCACTCGGGGGGAAGATCTAACGTCTATTCGCGCGATCGTTGGAGGTTCGGTCAAGAACGAGAGTGAGGAGCGTTTCTGAAAGTAGATCGTCCGGGAATGTAGATCGTCGATCGTGTCGGGGCACACGGATTAAGTAACAGCGCCGAGTCTCGATCGACAGGCAAGGCAGCGAGCAAGCAGGCGAGCAGGCAGGCGGGAGTCGAAAGGCCAGTCTAATTAACATAACCGTCGTAAAGCCGCGCCGAGATGAGCTTCTTTCCGCGGAGTCTCGCGATCGAAAGACGCGCTCGCGCGCCGACCGGTAAAAAGGGATCGACTTTCTTTATCCTCGTCGCGGCGCGAATTTTTTCGCTTTTATCGAGCGCTTTCATAAGCGATGATTTGCAAAATATTCAGATCGATATGATGACGAGAGGATGTCGGGCCTATAACGCACCGTGTTGCAATTCAACGTTGAAAGACGTAAGTGGAGAAGTAAACCACTTCGACGATTAATCGACGACGGTCGACTGCATCTCTCGGAGACTCGTTCCGATCCAAATATATGAGAAATATAACAAAAGGGTTCTCTCGTGCGAGACGAACTACTTCGCAACTTGATCTTGAGACTATCTCATCTTGAGATTCACAGAGGAGTTTGTTTGCGAATGCGAAGGCTTCGCGAGAATTCCGCGACATTCCAACAGGCGAGCGAGAGGAGAGAGGAGCGGGCGGAGAAATAAAGCTGGAAAGGCTGGACGTTTAATCTAACGCGTCAGGCGATCATCCCTTCCCAAGGATCAACCGGCGCGGCGGCTCTTGGACAGCACGTACAGTGCGTAACAGGATCGATGAGTGTAACCACGTCCTGTAACGTTTCACGATGTTTTACAGAACCATTGGAAAATTGCGCGACGAGTGTTTCTTATTGCGGGGCCGCGACCGGCCGGAGAATCTTCATTGCTACTCGGCTACTCGAGGGATGTTATCGGCGATGCCGATATATCGATAGATCGCGTGCTGCACGTACGCGCCGGTGAACGTCTCTTCGCAGGTGCTCGCTCCCCGCGATCTCACGTTCACTTGAGCACCTCTCCTTCCTCCTCCTCCTCCTCCTCCTCTTCCTCCTCCTTCTCCTCCTCATTTTCTTCTTCTTCTCTTTCATCGTTCGAATCTCCGCGCGCGCCGCGCGATGATGCCCCGCGCACAGACGCGTTTTGAAACATCGAGCGGTTGAGCAAGAAACCGGCCGGCGGTTGATTCTCGCGGATCGTGAATCACGTTCTCCAACGGAAACTGCTGTGTTGTTGTGCATTTGACCCGTTACGCGCGCGCGCGCGTGCACGCGCTATTCTCAGATCGAAAATCATTTTCCCCCCTTGCGCGACGATTACCTGTGGAACGCGCGATCCCGTAAATAGCATCGCCCACCTTCGTCTTTGCAGTCTCTCCTCCGCGGAGGATTTTATTCCGTATGAAGCTCCCGGAAGAAATCAAGAGAAACGATCAGGACAACCCGACTCGTGCCCGTAAAACCGAGAGTTTCCGAGCGCGTTTCGTCGTCTTTGCAAAACAAAAGAAAAACACATAAAAATGGCAGAAAAATACAGATACAGACACAACGAGGAGTACGCTTTTGAACTTGCGCACCGGAAGGATCTCTGCTGTGTACGAGTTTATGCCACATAACTCGATGATTGTGTACAATTTTCACTTGATATTTAACCCTTTACATATACGAGAAATATTTTTTCCACACTTCCTTCCACCAACTCCATAATTATAAATATAATTCGTCACAAAAAATTTGCGATTACTTTTTAGCTGAGAAAAGGAAACATAGAAAGTTTATACGTAAACTTATTGACAAAATTTTTAAAATTTTATACCTTTTTCAAAGTATGATACTGTTATTGTCGCCATATTTTATCGTTTTATTACTCTCTGTCCTTAAATCTTTTTCATGCCAGTCCAGCTGGCATTTCGAATTGCCGGAATAAATGTTCATGCCAGTTATAGTGGCATTCCGAGTGCAAAGGGTTAATACATTTCAGACAGACGACAGGATCCTCGAGAGACGTCTAAAAAGCGCTTGACAGATATCGGAACGTCCTCACGAACTGATTTAGCAATTCGCGCCGTCCCACGTGTACGAGCGAGTGAAGAATCCTCGGACTATCGGGGATCCTTCGCTCTTCGTTAATCCCGTCTCCTGTGCGAGGATTGTGTCGTATCGCGAATACGAGGCGAGAACTCCGGGCGTTGGGTCCTCTTAATTAATCTTTCGCGATTTCTCCGCTCACACGGACTCTATTTCTCTCTTTCTCCCCGTCCCTCTCCTTCTCTCGATTTTATTGTGACAAACGATCAGCGCCACCGTGTTTCAACGCTCGAAATACAAAACGCAGATCAGATCTGAAACGGCGCGTTGCCGCAGGCAACGGGTGTTCCAAGATAGAACGCCGCGACATTCCGCGACGAGCAATCGCCGTTACGCGAATCGAAAAAAAAACGCTATTGGGAACAGCAGTATTGTCGCAAGGGGCAACGTTTGGCTACCGGCCACGACGATAAACTTTTCCTCCGGGGAAGCCAATGTTCGACACATCGATGCAATCGTAGAAAGACACACCGGGCGTCCTTCTGCACGCGATCGAATTTAATTTATAACGAGCGATCGCATCGCCGGAGAAACGCCAACAAAGCCCGCGGCGCCATGTATCGTTATCGCGACGACATAGAGTAATAAGCGTTCCCTTATCTGGCCTTATCTGGATTGCATGCGCAGAATCGCGCGCAATCGTATATTGCAGCGACGAGTCGTGGAATTTCCGCGGGTTATGGAATATCCGCGGTTAATTCGTCCGCGCTCTTGACTTTTCGCTTTCTACCCGACGGAAGTGTAATATTTTGCGGGAGAAATGACTGCGGGAGACGATCTTTTCACCGACCGGCTAACGCGCTGGCTACGCAAATGCAACGCGCGCAACGCAGCTGCAGCCGTAATTGGCCGTAAAATCAACGCGCCGCGTCGCTCCTTGTAAAATTTCAACCCGCGATCCATTCCCGCAATTAATTCTCGCAGTTTCTAGCTGCGCAAAAGTTCACAGCGGCATATAGGCGCTCGTTATATTAAGCAACAAAGATTACCCCCGTGAAACGTT